GTTGTTGTTTTTTGGTTTAAACTCTTTGGCTCAGTTTAACTGTGTTTTGGCTTTTTGGTTTCAACCCTCATTTGTTTCTCTACTTCGACTTTTGCCTGAGCCCTCTTGTTTAGCTGCCCTGTTTTTGACCTGGTCTTGTGTAAATCCTGTTCCTTTGGTGAATTCTCCTTTTAATAAACCTTCCAATTTATTTTAGCTGTGAGTGTCTGGTTAGTCAACCCAGAATTACAGAATACTTTGCCAGAATGCAGACAGCAGATATCAAGGAGATACTCAATCCTACACAACAGTAGAGTGAGCAACAATGACAGTTGACCTCAATTGCCAGCAACCTAAAAGACATTACTACTGACTTACAGAATTTGAATACTGGTGAGTCTAGAGAAGTAGCCATCAATCCATCTGCTTCTCCGCCTCCTGTTACTAATGTTTTTTCCCATTAGCAAGCCAGCCACTGGGAGTGGATAAGAGATAATGTGTAAGGACAATGATCTCTTGCTTGAAGACCTTAGCACTTTAGCTATATGTCTTGACCTGCTTAAACCTGCCAAGATCACCAGCTCACATCATACCACAACTGCCCAGCACCAAGGAGCTACTGCCTCCCAGGTTTCCCCTGTTGGTGTCTCAATCAAGGACTCAGTGCAGACTGAACCCATGCAGTGCGGTATCCAGTTGGAGAAGGGATTATTGACACACTTACCAAGCCAGTCACCGTGTATATCAGTGCTCTCCACAAGGAGGAGATTGGCTTTTTCGTGCTAAACTCATCAGCATACTCAGTTATTCTAGGACTTCCCTGGTTACATAAACATAACCCCAACATCTCCTGGTCAGATTGTGAGATCCTTAGATGGTCCCCCTCATGTCATGAACAATGCCTAGAGTTACCCAGTCTAGCTTTGATGTCTACATCAATTGAGGGGCCTAATTCAGACCTTCCTGTCCTCACACCCTCTATATATGAGGACCTTCGATACATTTTTACTATGAGTAAAGCCACTGAACTTCCTCCTCATCAAGAAAATGATAGCTTGATTGAACTGCTTGAGGGCGCTGTTCCCCCTAGATCTACAGTTTACCCCCTTACTCAAGTGAAGGAGAGAGCTATGGAGGAGTATATACAGGAGGCTTTAGCTCAGAGGTTAATTCGTCCCTCTACCTCACCTGCAGCTGAGGGATTCTTTTTTGTGAAGAAAAAGGATGGAGGACTCAACTTAGAGATGCCATTTTTACTAAATTACACCTTTGCGTGCATACAACCTTGTTAGAATCAAAGAGGGGAACAAGTGAAAAACCATGTTTATCACCACTAGGGGGCACTATGAGTATTTAGTCATGCCATTTGGCCTGTCGAATGCTCCTTCCATCTTCCAAGCCTTCATTAATGACGTTCTAAGAGATACATTGGGTACATTTGTCATAGCCTACATTGATGATACTCTCCATATATCCCTACACACATCAGTCATGTCTGTCAGGCCTTAGCCAGATTATTAGAGAATCATCTCTGTGTTAAGGGTGAGAAAAGTAAATTTCATCTGCAGTCCATGTCCTTTCTAGGGCACTTTATCAGTCCAGTCCCTGTGAAAGGTTTACAGCGGTTTCTTGGATTTGTTCATTTCTGTCGTAGATTCATTTGTGACTATAGTAGCATCGCAGCTCCATTAATGGCTCTTCTCAAAGGTAATGCGAAACAACTTGTCTTTAACTCCCAAGCTGAAAGGAATTTTAAATCATTAAAGTCAGCCTTTACCTTCGCACCCATTCTCAAACATCCAGACCCTACTAAAGCCTTTGTGCTGGAGGTAGATGCTAGAGGCTTAATCCCAGACAGGCTCGTTGGTTGGTTTTTCAATCGTTTCCATCACATACTAACCTGGTACATCTAATACCAAGGCTGATGCTTTGTCACGAGTGAGGAAAGCGAGCGAGGAAGAATTTAGTGAGGAAACTCTTATTGAGAAAACCCCAGAGAGCATCTTGCCACTTGAAATTATTGCAGCACGTTGGGAGGTAGATGAGGATATTGATAAGGCATTAGAAACGGTAACAGTACCTGAACTGGGTCCTTATAAAATTCGTCCCTAGTTAATTCGGTGATCATATTATTTCCTGGGCTCTCTCCTCTCTGTCTTCTGGTCACCCTGGCAAAACTCTTTACTCTCTATTTCTGGTAGGTACTGGTGGGATAATATATAAGGTGATATTCACAAGTTCGTAGCCTCATGCTCTACCTGTTCACAATGTTAGGCTAGTGAACAGGTCTGAATTACTAGAATTACCTTGTCAGTAGTCAGTATCGAGTCAGTAACTCGTTCCATGTCTTCCTTCTTAAACCAGTTGTTCCTGGTCCACTGGATGAGGTCTCAGCCAGTGTTCTATATGTGCACCTGGTCTATATGTGCACAGGTTGCTGGACTCCCGGAGGAGAGGAGGAGTTCTCAAAGGTGTATTTTCTCCAAAATATGGAGTAAAAAATACATTCGGTAGTTGAAATATCCCTAAAATTCATGATGTTCATTTTAGTGGACATCTGATTAGTGATAATTTACTACTTACAGAAAATCAATACTTGAGCAACAAAACAATTATATTGCTCCTGAGACGTTCCTTTTTGGGCTCAATTTTTATTTACATGCAAAAATGCTTTTTTGTAGAAGGATTTTACGGAAGTCCCCAAAACAGGTGGAGTTTCTGACCTTCCATCTTCCATGTTGGTTCACCATATGGTTTGTTGCATTTGCAATTAATTGGCCACATGGTGACACGATAGAGGGTTCTTTGGTAACGTCCCCTTAAAAGGCTGTCATGCATCAATAACAGTAAAACCTACCCACATAGAAAATAATGACTTTTAAATAGCTGTCCACTGTAGTGACCTCCATGTGTGAAAGGGCTAGATTAAACTGAATGAGAGCATCCTTAATCATTGATTTGATACTGGCTTTAGTTGGGTTTTCATAAATCCCCATGAAATCCTCATGAAGAGCAAAGTCATGTGAAACACGTCTCATCACAATTGAATTTTGTCCCTTTGATGACATCAGTTGTACTATTATACTTAAAAACTTGGTATTTCTGAAGCTCTAGTAACTGCTGAGGACATTATGTCAAGAGCTTCATTCTGTATCTCATGTGAGCAATATTTATCTCGACTCTGTAACCAAGATTCCAATATTGCACTTTCTCTTGCTCGCAGTCTCAGTAATCATCTGTACTGAGCCTGAATGGTACAGTAACTAAATGTTTTCAAGGATTTTTATAAATGCCTCTTTTGCTTGTGCTTGCTGTTTTTGTTTTCCTGCCAGAATCTGTGTAGTCACAGATGCTTTCTTGTGTAGTGAAGCCATTTTAGGATGGCCTCTTTTTGGGTCAAAGATGTATCATCACTCCTGAATGCTTCCAGTTTGAAAAGCCTTTTATAGTAAATGCATCATTGAGGCAATTAGAGAATTTCAGCCCCACCGCTATTCTGCAAATATGGCAAATGCCTTTCCATCTCTCCACTCTATCCAGTTCCATATTTGACACCATGTAGGTTTGAATGTTCCAGCAAATCTGCGCGCTGATACGAATCAAGCTGTAATGGTGTTTACTCATCTTTTTCAGATTCTAAACTGTTCCTGCTGTAACAAAAATGTCACAATATGAATCTAATCTACAGTCTACAATTTCTGAATGTAAATAAACATCAATATTCACATTTGAGTCACTTTAGAAGTGGCACCAGCAGTTTAACAAATAAGCTGACATACCTGTCCAGATCACTTGTGTTGACTGATCTATCATTTCCTTTTTCTCTGATTGAAAAATAGCTCGGTCATTGTCTGTAGTACCAGCTGAATAACTGCTGAATGTAGTTAGAACTACTTGTAGCCAAGGTTATGGCTAAAATGTAATATCATGAATCTTGCAAATCTTGGGATATTCAAAGCTTGCTGTTAGACATTTTATTCTACTAGCCTATTTTACACACATTAACTGGTTGTTGTGATATGATAAATATTCAGTGACAATGGCTAGACATAAACTGAACGAAAAAGAAAAGAACATCTACATCTTTAAACTTTTTGCTGCTCTTAAACAAAAATACTGCATTAGGCAGCATATTCATAATCACTTTCTATAATAACTTTCTATTAGGGGGCTTTTAGAGGCTTAAACTTTTCAGACATCTACCACTGTGAACAATTAACCATGATGTTTTTGTTTAATCAATTGCTTTTGTGCAGAAGCAGCCATGGGCAGTATTGATATGTTTCTTTTAAACGTTCAGATACAGCTTCAGATGTTGATAGAGGACCTGATCTTGATTAGACATTTACTACACTATTCATTCAGCAGACACAACTAAGTCACACTGGGGATGCCATGAAAGCCATCAACCAACTTGAGTGGAAGTATCTGTGGTCCACCATAGAACATTTTGGTTTAGGCACTGGCTTCATTGCCCTGATAAATGTATTATATGTGAACCCAACAGCGGCAGTGCCATCAGGTAACAAACAGTCTTTTCCATTGGGACAAGGAACTCACAAGTGGTGCCCTTTGTGACCTCTCTTATTCACTATATCACTCAACCCTCCTTCTTTATGCACTTACTGCTCAGATTAGCCCTTAAGTCTTATGTGATAGCTTATTTTCACTTAGAAAATGTAAAGGATTCATGTTTATGTTTATTTGCAATAAAGGTGACGTTAAGAAAAAATGATTCTGAAAAGGAGAGTTGAGTTAGTGCAACTAAGGAACTAAGTACCTCAGCATATTTCAAACACAGATCACTCGAGCATTTACACATTCAGTTTCCTCAATGACATAAATCATCCACATCAACTGTCAGGTCAGGACATGAACTGTGAGTTGTGTTGACAGATGTGTTTACATTAGCACAGCAACACTTTGTAGACGCACTGAGCTGTCAGTGCGGTAAAGGCCCGCCTCAGGAAACTACAGCTCAGCCTCTTCACATGTTGTAAGCTGCACTGAGCTCTCCCTCCTTGATTTGACTGTTAGCTCTTGGACTTATGAAACATGTCTGGGAATCATACGTTCAACACAACGCAGAGTAAGTATAAGTGGACTTTCTTCAGTTCTGATTATTGTAAAATGTAACATTATCTAGTTTGCCATTTTAAAAGGGGAATTCCACTCATTTTCAAAAATCTCCATATAATAGAATCGCTGAGACATAAACACAGTAATTTAGAGTGATTTGGTGTGAAATATTTCATTATAGAGAAACTTAATAACTGGTGATAATAGGAACCAGAGATCTTGATGCCTCCACATAAATATAGCCTTGTTATTTGCCATCCAAAACCAGTGAACCTACATGTGTCTTTGGAGGTTTTATATGTAATGTTGATAATAGTAAAATAGTGGTGAATGTAAAAAAATATTTCTTTTAAAACTTTTTTTTCTAAAACTTTACAACACCCTGCATGTATCTCTTTACCATGAATGGCTTTAAAAAGTATTAAAGCTCAGAGGCGTTAAACACTTCGGACGTCTGGTTTCTACCACCACTGGAATGTTTCTCTAGAATGGAGCATTCCACATCACACCACTCTTAATGACTCTTCTTAGATCTTAATGAGTTAACTATGCAGATATTTTAACCCTTTAATGCAGTTACTAAATTATGTTTGTAGAGTTTCTTAAGCAGTTTGCAAATATTTAAAAGACTGAGTCTTTCAAACTAGGGACAGAATTTAATGTTGCTTCTTTTTGTCTTGATTAGGGTTTGTTAATGTCTCATTTGAAAAAAATCTAAAGTGCATGCAGATGTGTGTAAATGTTTTGCATAACAACTGAAACTGTGCACTGAAACCTGGAAAAAAATACAATATTTAAGTTTTTTTCTCTGAAGACAAATCAACAAAATGTAATTTGAATGGGGTGGGTTTTTTTTGCCTTCTGTGAGCTATCTGAAGAAATATTAATACTATTTCACTTGCCAAGAGATCATTTTTTGTGCAGTGTTTCCCTTTAATCAATGGAAATTAACCTTTTGAATTAATCAGTTTTAATACATTTGATTAAAGAGTTGTTTTTCAAGAATTGTGCATGAATTCAGTATTCAGCAAATCAACCTAATATTTTCCTGAAATATAGTAAATAACCCTAAATCTGGCCCTAATAATGGTCCACTTTTCATTTTTCCCTCATTCTCATAGATTGGGTGAAGGAAATTTGTGCATTTGAAGAGTTTCATTCCAAAATGCTGAATATCTATTTGTAACAATTTTGTTGTGTAATTTGTAAAACTCACAACACATTTAACACATAACCAAAAATAATAGGCTTTTATTAATTAATTAACTATGCAAGGATTTTTTGTCAGCTTTATGCCAGCAACTAGCTTGAAAGTTTTTAAGACCTGCAATCTACAAGAATCTACACAAACATTTCTGCCCTCTCATTAAGGGACAGAACAGTTTCTTCAGTCAGTTCCTGGCAGCCCGCTGCACTACTTAGTCTGAAATATGATCTGCCTCAACACGCCTTTTCTGGCTCATTACGAGCCAGAAAATGAGTTGATAAGCTGGAAAAAGCATGTTGAGGCAGGAAATAGCTGAAACTGTGAAGCACTGAGGGTCACCAGGAGAGGAATTAGGAAGAACAAAACCAAGACCCAAAAGGTGTCCCAAATGGTATTGTTGTATTTACACCAACAACTCACTGTATATTTTAGTTCCAAGTTTGAGGAATGAAAATGAACCTGAATCAAACTGTATTAAGAACAAAAACAGAATCATTCCGTAACTGTTCTGAAACAGAAACATTAATTATGCCATTAAAAGGGTAAAAGTTGGCTAGTTTTAAGTTGAACCTGTGTATTTGGTGATCTGGACATCATCTCAAGTAGCTTACTGCTTTATTCTTTTGCTTTCTGCAAGTTAACTTGTCTCCAGTCCTTTATAAGTTATAAAAGTAAATACATATAAACATACAATACATACAAATATGTGAAACCAGGATGCTCAGTTGCATCATTTCTTTTTATCATATTGCAACAAAGACCAAATATGTACAAACCTCAGGAACTCATGAGGGCATTAGACTGCCCCTCGGCAAATATGACAAATGAAGGTGTTCCTGTTTCCTTGTTAGTAGGTTGTTAAAAACATCCCATGTCTATAGGTGCTAGCCAGCAGATGCCATGGCAGCACAATGATATGAGGCCTAGTTTTCCATGAGAAGCTGAATGAAACAATTTCCTGTTTTTAGTATTTGTCTATTCCAAGGTATCAATAAAATAGTTTATACCTGCATGTCTCATTCTTTTATTAAGGTGTGCTATTGCATTTGTATTTAAAGAACAGTAATGTTAATAATAATATAAATAATAGTAAAAGTGAACAGAAAGCTTAAGATTTTCTGATAAGTTTACGTGTTTATTTAGCCTTTTAAATTTTTGTGGGTTTCAGGACAAACACTTCCTCCACATGTGGGCTCTGGCATGAAAAAGTTTGGGAAGCCCTGATCTAGCTTGTGGAGAAAGGGCTGTCTGTGCTCCCCTCTGATATTTACAGTAGCCAAAAAACTGCTGGCATTAGCCCCCCGAGCTGAGTTGACCATTTCTGGTATCAAATTTTGCCCTTCAGCTCATAAACTCTCCCTGTACGCTGCTGATTTATTAGTATGTCTTATTAACCACATCTCAGCTCACTTTTAATATGTTTGGAATTGCACTGATTAAGTCTATCCAATAAGTCTTACCAATTCATTTCCAGGAGAACTCCATTCAAAACCTAACAACCTCAGCGGTGGTACCTCCATTTTTTTTATTTGATTTTAGTTATTTAGTTATAGAAATAAGATTCTTCAGCTGAATTATTTGATCCATTACATCTCTTGAAGATTCCTAAACAATTTTTTAAAAGGCTCGACTGGAATCTCCTTTTTCCTAATTACAGCAAAAGACATTTCCACAATTTAAAATCTCTACTGTACAGGCCCGAGGTTTGAATTGACTTAACACAGTTTAGGATCACATGCAATTGGATTCACTCTGAGAGGAATGGGCACAGATGGCTCTCAACTGAGCAAAATGAAATGCTTGGTACACTTTTAAAAACTTTTTTTTTTTTTTATAGGCACCAAGGACTTCTCTCAACAGAACATTCTTCAATGAACAACCTTATTCTCATCAAGCAATTGCTGAATACTAAACTCATGACCCAGTAATGAAATCATAGTTAGGGAAAAGCAAAAAGCACAGAATCTCAACTATCTATAAAATGATTTGTGTAAAACTGATAAATGACCAACATTCACCCAAGTGTTTCTTGCCTGATTGAATATGACTAATATACAAAGTTTGTTTCAATGTATTCTCATTGCTCTTATTAGCACACATTTCCCATACTATTTCTTACAAACACAATTCACAGCAGTCAAGTATGTATGATAATGAGACTGTTTTTGTTTGCTGATTTGTTTTTTTAAACAGCGGGAAAATGTAGCAGTTACGAAGATTGCAATGATAACACGTACACACCCTGCGACCTTAGTAGGAACTTTGGGCAAATCTTCCTCCCAACCCTCTACAGCATAGTCTTCATCGTGGGCTTCATTGGAAATGGCCTGGTGTTGTGTGTCCTTGCCAAATACTTCAAGAGATCGAACATGATGGATGTGTGCCTCTTCAACTTGGCGCTGTCTGACCTGCTGTTTCTCATATCTCTGCCGTTCTGGGCCCACTACGCTGCCACCAACATGTGGATCTTTGGGAATGCTATGTGCCAAGCTGTCACCACATTTTACATGCTAGGCTTCTACGGCAGCATCTTTTTTATGCTGCTCATGACAGTGGATCGTTATCTTGTCACTGTCCATGCCCATACCTCCCTTTTTTTCAAGCGCCAATCAGTGAGCGTGGGCATAGCATTGGTCTTGTTTATGTGGGCACTCAGCCTGGGCGCTTCTCTCCCCACCATCATATTCTCTCAAGGGAGGAATGAGTCAACCAAATTGTGCCTGCTGGAATATCCTAACAACACATGGAGGCTTATCAGCTACATGGAGCTGAACATCCTTGGCTTGATCCTCCCCCTCACAGTCATGGGGTTTTGCTACTCTCAGATCATCCCCACTTTGGCTGCTATGAAGTCTAAGAAGAGGCACAAAGCCATCAAGCTCATGCTGGTCCTGATCATAGTTTTCTTTCTCTTCTGGACACCCTACAATGTGGTCACATTCATGCACTTTCTTCATCACTTGGGATACATGGAAACCTGCAAATGGCTGCAAGACCTTGGCTTGGCCATGCAGTGGTCTGAAACCATCACTTTCAGTCACTGCTGCATCAACCCCATCATCTACGCCTTTGTGGGCCAGAGGTTCAGGACATTAGTCATTAAGACTTTGAAAGAATGGTTTCCAATTTGCTTCAGCCGGTGCAGAACACTTAACAGTCAGCTGACAGATAAAAAGGGCTCCACGCGCTCCACAGCAATTACAACAATTCTGTAGCTGCCGTAGCCCCCCACTAATATTAATCAAAACAGCAACTTTGCCATTTTTCATTTGTTAACGTCATTTAACATCATAACTCTATGCTTATTATTTTAAACATAAGGCTTTTAACTACTATGAATTCAGTAACTTCTATGACCCTATAAAGCAGGGACATAGGTTTCATTTCAACTTTGGGGGAAAACACTGCTCATAACATCCAACTCATCATGTTTTGTTTTATGCGCCAACAAGTGCCAATAAATGGTCATTCAATATCTATACAATCTTACCCTGAACATAAATTATTATGATTATATTTCACAATTTTGAATCAGCTTTATGACATTGTTGTCATTCTTTGTAACTGACGTCATAACATTTTATATAAAATGGTTCACCAGCCTCAGCAGTAGAAACTCATTACAAGCCCTTCAACGTTATAAAGACCTGTGTCTATTTCATATCAATCAATGAATTTTTAACCAACTTACTTCTTCACAGATAAAAGAGATGCAAGTATCCGGATGAAAACAATAATTGATCTATCTAGAACCTATATATGAGAGGCTTTTTGAATAATTGAAACACATATACATACATACACATATGTTTATATATGCTGCACAGTATAATGTCACTGTCCAAAGACAAGCATGTATCTCCAAAATAGAAACTTTACAGCAAAAAGTTCTTAATTCTTAAAGCCAGCGTAAAGAGGTTTTCTTCCGAGTAATTGTGGATCATTCCTATTGGCCCATTCTTTGCTAAAGTCACACAATCCATTCATCAGTTCACACAGTGTAAAGAACAGTCACTGTATTCAAATTATGTCAAAAAACAAACTGACAAAAAAGGAGATACATGTTTATTTTGGAACATGAAGATTCTACTGTATGTTTACTGTGAAGATGATCTACTGTATGTTTACTGTGAAGATGATCTACTGTGTGTTTACTGTGAAGATCATCTACTGTATGTTTACTGTGCCTTGCTGCTGGTCTACTCAAGGTTATTAATCCCCTGGTTGATAAGCAAGAACAATAAAGCATCTGACTGATTTCCTGCATGTTACAACACTTCACCTTTGGCACTAAAATATGTTCTATTTCTATTTCTGTCAGGTTTCCTTCTCTTCGTTGCCTTTCGCATGTTGATATCTTTTTTACAAGTAGGTTCAATCCAGGCCACTTACTTACAGCATACATATGAATGTTTTCAGTAATATAATACAATGCTGCAGATACAATTACTGTAATAAGATTGTAGTACTTGACAAATTAGGTTTCAAATGATTTTCAGGAAGCCGTAAAAATTGAAAAAAAAAAAAAATGTAGGTGGGTCCAGTATGATGAACAATGAACAGCTGTAAACGATTCTAAAGGGACTGTGAAAGCTGTACAACATCAAGAATGAGGTAATAATAAAGTAAATATCCAAAATGATACAATATTATCATTTATTTACAATAAGAATTTATTGTTGAAAGGTAATTATGGCATATTTTTTATTATTTAATACATTCTTTTCATTCCCATTGTACTTGAAATGGTCAATAAAAAACCTATACAAATATGTTTTGGTGTTTATTTTTTAAAAACATCTAAAACTACACTGCAAAATTCATTAGTAAATGGACCTTTAGGCTCTGCTGGTTAAATTGTTTGCTCTTTGTGACGCATGTTCATTCACGTGATGTTACTCATCGTTTCAGGACACAGGTTCGTGCACATTAATGACAGGTTTGAGTCACTTACCTACACAAATGTGAACCATCAGGTTAGGAAGATCAAATCTGAGCAAAAAGCAGCTTGTAATGTGAAGCCTAAGCCGTCTTTTGCCTCCAAAATAAAGCACGGTAAGTGCTAGTTTCATTAGTCTATCCTTTTAGGGATGTGTGATGTGGTGTTGAACTTCCCAGCCAAAAAGATCTGCTCTGCTCCTTCTCCACTTTGCAGAATTTCTCACAGGCGGACGCCTCACCGTTCAGATGCGGATTTTTGCTGGATTCATTCCACCGATGGCATGTGGCCTTACTGATTTTGAGATAACAAGCAATTGCTTCAACACAACTAATGAAAATCTAGAGAAACAAATGCTTAACTTTCAATACATTACTGCCATAAACAATAATTCATTCACCGTCTTACCATTATCCTCCTGGGTTGGGGGGGGTGGGGGATGCTGGAACATATCCCAGCACTTACTGGGCAGAAGGCAGGAAACACCGGTCACTAGGTCCCTAGGACAGGTCACTAGGATTTAAAAGCTTGGAAACGTGAAGTTAAAGCTCAGTAATAACTTTAAACAGGCTGAAAAAACCACAAAGGTATGTATGCAGTCATGCAGTTACATTATTACAAATAGCCTTTTAGGTTACTATTTGGGCAAAGTCAGTTGTAAAGACATGGCTATACTAAGAATAGTGCTATTTTTATAAGCACACTGAAAGTCCTGATGATGTTTGTACCTTAATAAGCAGGTTATATTGACTTTTATATTGTTTTCTTGCAATTAGTTAGTGTGGAGTGTTTAGTTAGGGGTGGAGTCAGCCAGAATTCCTAGTGGGTTAGATAATTTCTGTTTATTAGCTCATATTTTACTTCAGATTTTGCTTTCAAAGAACACATTCACATATTATATATAGGTTAAGTGTATGTTTGGATGCACTTTTCATGTTTTAGGTATCCTAACCATGAATGAGTTCATGGTCTCTGCTTAGTAGGCAGTTTGGTTGTAACAAAACAACTTAAATTTCTGCCAACTCAGTAGTTTTTCCTGGTTGTTATAAGAGTATACACTCACTGACCACTTAATTCAGGACACTTACCTGTATCTATACTTGTTGTCAATTTTGTCAGCGTGACTTACCATATAGGTGCACATACTGACTGTAGCCCCCCCTGTTTCTCTGCATACCTTGTTGCCCCTCTTTCATCCTGTTCTTCAATGGTCAGGACCCTCACAGGACCACCACAGAGCAGGTATTATTTGGGTCGTGGATCATTCCCAGCACTGCAGTGACTCTGACATGGTGGTGGTATGTTAGTGTGTGTTGTGCTCACACGAGTGAATCAGACACAGCAATCTTACAGAAGTTTTTAAACACTGTGTCCACTCACTGTCCACTCTATTAGACACTCCTATCTTGTAGGTCCACCTTATAGATGTAATGTCAGAAATGTGAGGATGACCAATACAGTTTGTATTGGTCATCCTCTAGTCCTTCATCAGTGGTCACAGGACCCGCCCACAGCGGTTGGTGGACTATTCTCAGTCAAGCAGTGGCACGGAGGTGTTTTAAAACTCCAGCACTGCAGTGTCTGATCCACTCAGACCAGTGCAACACACACTTACATGCCACCACTATTTTGAATGAGTTTTCTTTTACATCTGATTATGTCGATGTTGTGAAAATGAACAATAATGATGCAGTCACTGAAAAGCTCAGGTTTTTGCAACAGTATACATGCACTTTGTTTGCAAAAGCTTTTAGTGTATTTAACGCCATGTATAATTTCAGGCAACAAGTTTCAAAACTTACCCTGCTAGAAAAAACTGCATAGGTCAGCATGGCTGGTCACCAGCAAAGCCAGTATATGTTGTGTTTTGGATGCTGGTATATTGGTCAGTAGCAATGGAAGTTAATGAGCTGGTCACCAGCAAAAATAGCATATGTTGTGTTTTGGATGCTGGTAAGCTGGTCAATCAACATGACCATGCTGGGTTACTAGCTAAACCAGCACCAAACCAGCAAAAACCAGCCTAAACCATGGAATTCATGTATGTGTATGCTGTTTTTTTTCAGCAGGGTAATTCATTTGAGGCAACGAGTTACTCATGAAGTTTCAGTAAACTAAACTTATCAGGGTTTACAGTGCAAATGCCGAACGTGCCAACAAATCTGTTAGCTAGCCAGAGTCTGAAATTCAGCAATGGAGATCATCTCTGCTGTTGGTGGGTTATTTTGATATTTCCTGACAGAGGGTAATAGCCTACAGCATTAGCTAGCTAGCCATATGGTAGACTGCTGACATGAATACAGGTGTTTTTTTTTCTTTTTTTTCTGACTGACCTGTTGCTCTCTGGCTGATTGCTATTCCTCTCAGCTGCTGACAGAGGGAAATAGCCTACAGCAGTAGTTAGCGCGCCATATGTTAGAATGATCACACAAGTACATGTGGCGTTTTTCTGATTGACCTGTTGCTCCCTGGCTGATAGAGTGCATTTACATGCGCTTAACAATCTGATAACTGCAGAAAATCAGATTTTGTCAGTAAGCCGATCAATGCGTTTATATACACTTAATAATCTGATAGCTGCAGAAAATCTCAAGAGTCAGGCAGTAATCGCACCATTGCACCACTTTACCTGAAAATATGAACATACATCATCTAGAAAATAAAGAGTATTTAATTTTATTCCTTCATTTCATCAAGCATGTAGTTTCATTGTCGCTCCAAAAGTGTTTTGCTGCCATTTTGCGGTAGCGCTGCTTGCTTATTTCTGGTACCGCTTTCTGTTTCGCACTTGCTCAGACTGAGAAGTCTGAAAAAGAGTATTCATGCACTGAGAAATCTGATTTTTAAGCTAAAATCCACCTCCCTTTATCGGATTTCTAGATGGGAGCATGCTGTTTACATGACCATTTGAATAATCAGATAACTGCAGAAATCTGATTATGATTGGATCATTGAGTGCCTGTAAACACACTCATATTATGTTAAGCAGACTGCTGTTTTTCCTCTCAGCTCCATTCTTTCCTCTTTTCCATTTTGGGAAGATGATGTAGGCTCGTTGACTAACTGAGCTAGCTAGCTCACCAGCTAGTACTAATATTATAGCACATCTCTATGCATTTTTTTTTGTTTTCAGTAGTAGTTTCAGTAGTTTCAGTAGTAGTTTGCCTAAGTAAACCTATTTTTGTAGGTTAACAGTGGTTTATTATTGCGAGAGAAAACACAATCAAGACAGTCGATCTGGAGTCAATGTTAGGCTAAGGCTTACCTCACACAGCTGGCCCTTCCTTTATGTCTACTAAAGTGGACTACTTCTGATGCAAAGGACTAGACAGCGGATGTGATTGAGACTCTATTGTGTTTTCATTTTCATTAGAATTGTGACTGAAACATCCCTGACTCCCCCCACTCAGCTAAACGGGCTAACATTAGCATGGTTTGCACTGTTTGTATGTTGTGTTATTTGTGATTATTTGTGGCAGAGGACTAGACGGCGGGAGGTGATCAGGGCGCTACTGTGTTTTCATTTTCATTTGAAATGTGATTGAAACATCTATGACTCTCAGCTAAACAGGCTAACATTAGCATGGTTTGCACTGTAGATTGTCATTAGCATCTTTTCAAGATATGGAACAGGTAGAACCAGTCGTTCCAAGACATTAAGTGGAGCTAAAACCTGCAC